CCCCTGTCTGTGACACTAGGACACAATGACACAACATCCCCACCCCTGTCTGTGACACTGGGACACAATGACACAACATCCCCACCCCTGTCTGTGACACTAGGACACAATGACACAACATCCCCACCCCTGTCTGTGACACTGGGACACAATGACACAACATCCCCACCCCTGTCTGTGACACTGGGACACAATGACACAACATCCCCACCCCTGTCTGTGACACTGGGACACAATGACACAACATCCCCACCCCTGTCTGTGACACTGGGACACAATGACACAACATCCCCACCCCTGTCTGTGACACTAGGACACAATGACACAACATCCCCACCCCTGTCTGTGACACTGGGACACAATGACACAACATCCCCACCCCTGTCTGTGACACTGGGACACACATGACACAACAACATCCCCACCCCTGTCTGTGACACACTGGGACACAATGACACAACATCCCCACCCCTGTCTGTGACACAATGACTGGGACACAATGACACAATGACACAACATCCCACCCCTGTCTGTGACACTGGGACACAATGACACAACATCCCCACCCCTGTCTGTGACACTGGGACACAATGACACAACATCCCCACCCCTGTCTGTGACACTGGGACACAATGACACAACATCCCCACCCCTGTCTGTGACACTGGGACACAATGACACAACATCCCCACCCCTGTCTGTGACACTGGGACACAATGACACAACATCCCCACCCCTGTCTGTGACACTGGGACACAATGACACAACATCCCCACCCCTGTCTGTGACACTGGGACACAATGACACAACATCCCCACCCCTGTCTGTGACACTGGGACACAATGACACAACATCATCCCCACCCCTGTCTGTCACTGGGACACAATGACACAACATCCCCACCCCTGTCTGTGACACTGGGACACAATGACACAACATCCCCACCCCTGTCTGTGACACTATGGACACAATGACACAACAACATCCCACCCCTGTCTGTGACACTGGGACACAATGACACAACATCCCCCCCCCTGTCTGTGACACTAATGGACACAATGACACAATGACACAACATCCCATACCCCCACCCCTGTCTGTGACACTAGGACACAATGACACAACATCCCCACCCCTGTCTGTGACACTAGGACACAATGACACAACATCCCCACCCCTGTCTGTGACACTAGGACACAATGACACAACATCCCCACCCCTGTCTGTGACACTAGGACACAATGACACAACATCCCCACCCCTGTCTGTGACACTAGGACACAATGACACAACATCCCCACCCCTGTCTGTGACACTAGGACACAATGACACAACATCCCCACCCCTGTCTGTGACACTAGGACACAATGACACAACATCCCCACCCCTGTCTGTGACACTAGGACACAATGACACAACATCCCCACCCCTGTCTGTGACACTGGACACAATGACACAACATCCCACCCCTGTCTGTGACACTAATGACACAATGACACAAACATCCCCACCCCTGTCTGTGACACTAGGACACAATGACACAAACATCCCCACCCCTGTCACTGTGACACTACCCCTGGACACAATGACACAACATCCCCACCCCTGTCTGTGACACTGGGACACAATGACACAACATCCCCACCCCTGTCTGTGACACAATGACACAACATCCCCACCCCTGTCTGTGACACAATGACACAACATCCCCACCCCTGTCTGTGACACTAGGACACAATGACACAACATCCCCACCCCTGTCTGTGACACTGGGACACAATGACACAACATCCCCACCCCCTGTCTGTGACACTGGGACACAATGACACAACATCCCCACCCTGTCTGTGACACTGGGACACAATGACACAACATCCCCACCCCTGTCTGTGACACTAGGACACAATGACACAACATCCCCACCCCTGTCTGTGACACTGGGACACAATGACACAACATCCCCACCCCTGTCTGTGACACTAGGACACAATGACACAACATCCCCACCCCTGTCTGTGACACTAGGACACAATGACACAACATCCCCACCCCTGTCTGTGACACTGGGACACAATGACACAACATCCCCACCCCTGTCTGTGACACTAGGACACAATGACACAACATCCCCACCCCTGTCTGTGACACTGGGACACAATGACACAACATCCCCACCCCTGTCTGTGACACTAGGACACAATGACACAACATCCCCACCCCTGTCTGTGACACAACATCCCCACCCCTGTCTGTGACACAATGACACAACATCCCCACCCCTGTCTGTGACACTGGGACACAATGACACAACATCCCCACCCCTGTCTGTGACACTGGGACACAATGACACAACATCCCCACCCCTGTCTGTGACACTAGGACACAATGACACAACATCCCCACCCCTGTCTGTGACACTAGGACACAATGACACAACATCCCCACCCCTGTCTGTGACACTGGGACACAATGACACAACATCCCCACCCCTGTCTGTGACACTGGGACACAATGACACAACATCCCCACCCCTGTCTGTGACACTGGGACACAATGACACAACATCCCCACCCCTGTCTGTGACACTAGGACACAATGACACAACATCCCCACCCCTGTCTGTGACACTAGGACACAATGACACAACATCCCCACCCCTGTCTGTGACACTAGGACACAATGACACAACATCCCCACCCCTGTGTCTGTGACACTGGGACACACAATGACACAACATCCCCACCCCTGTCTGTGACACTGGGACACAATGACACAACATCCCCACCCCTGTCTGTGACACTGAGGACACAATGACACAACATCCCCACCCCTGTCTGTGACACTGGGACACAATGACACAACATCCCCACCCCTGTCTGTGACACTAGGACACAATGACACAACATCCCCACCCCTGTCTGTGACACTAGGACACAATGACACAACATCCCCACCCCTGTCTGTGACACTAGGACACAATGACACAACATCCCCACCCCTGTCTGTGACACTGGGACACAATGACACAACATCCCCACCCCACCCCTGTCTGTGACACTAGGACACAATGACACAACATCCCCACCCCTGTCTGTGACACAATGACACAATGACACACACAATCCCCACCCCACCCCTCTGTGACACTAGGACACAATGACACAACATCCCCACCCCTGTCTGTGACACTGGGACACAATGACACAACATCCCCACCCTGTCTGTGACACTATGACACAATGACACTGGACACAATGACACAACATCCCCACCCCTGTCTGTGACACTAGGACACAATGACACAACATCCCCACCCCTGTCTGTGACACTGGGACACAATGACACAACATCCCCACCCCTGTCTGTGACACAATGACACAACATCCCCACCCCTGTCTGTGACACTGGGACACAATGACACAACATCCCCACCCCTGTCTGTGACACTAGGACACAATGACACAACATCCCCACCCCTGTCTGTGACACAATGACACAACATCCCCACCCCTGTCTGTGACACTAGGACACAATGACACAACATCCCCACCCCTGTCTGTGACACTGGGACACAATGACACAACATCCCCACCCCTGTCTGTGACACTGGGACACAATGACACAACATCCCCACCCCTGTCTGTGACACTGGGACACAATGACACAACATCCCCACCCCTGTCTGTGACACTGGGACACAATGACACAACATCCCCACCCCTGTCTGTGACACAATGACACAACATGACACAACATGTCCACCCTGTCTGTGACACAATGACACAATGACACAACATCCCCACCCCTGTCTGTGACACTGGACACAATGACACAACATCCCACACCCCTGTCTGTGACACTAGGACACAATGACACAACATCCCCACCCCTGTCTGTGACACTAGGACACAATGACACAACATCCCCACCCCTGTCTGTGACACTAGGACACAATGACACAACATCCCACTGTCTGTGACACTAGGACACAATGACACAACATCCCCACCCCTGTCTGTGACACTAGGACACAATGACACAACATCCCCACCCCTGTCTGTGACACTGGGACACAATGACACAACATCCCCACCCCTGTCTGTGACACAATGACACAACATCCCCACCCCTGTCTGTGACACTAGGACACAATGACACAACATCCCCACCCCTGTCTGTGACACTAGGACACAATGACACAACATCCCCACCCCTGTCTGTGACACTGGGACACAATGACACAACATCCCCACCCCTGTCTGTCACTGGGACACAATGACACACATCCCCACCCTGTCTGACACAACATCCCCACCCCTGTCTGTGACACTGGGACACAATGACACAACATCCCCACCCCTGTCTGTGACACTGGGACACAATGACACAACATCCCCACCCCTGTCTGTGACACTGACACACACAATGACACAACATCCCAACACCCCACCCCTCTGTGACACTGGGACACAATGACACAACATCCCCACCCCTGTCTGTGACACTGGGACACAATGACACAACATCCCCACCCCTGTCTGTGACACTGGGACACAATGACACAACATCCCCACCCCTGTCTGTGACACTGGGACACAATGACACATCCCCACCCCTGTCTGTGACACTGGACACAATGACACAACACAACACAATGACACAACATCCCACCCCTGTCTGTGACACTGGGACACAATGACACAACATCCCCACCCCTGTCTGTGACACTGGGACACAATGACACAACATCCCCACCCCTGTCTGTGACACTGGGACACAATGACACAACATCCCCACCCCTGTCTGTGACACTGGGACACAATGACACAACATCCCCACCCCTGTCTGTGACACTGTGACACACATGGGACACAATGACACAACATCCCCACCCCTGTCTGTGACACTGGGACACAATGACACAACATCCCCACCCCTGTCTGTGACACTGGGACACAATGACACAACATCCCCACCCCTGTCTGTGACACTGGGACACAATGACACAACATCCCCCACCCCTGTCTGTGACACTAGGACACAATGACACAACATCCCCACCCCTGTCTGTGACACTAGGACACAATGACACAACATCCCCACCCCTGTCTGTGACACTGGGACACAATGACACAACATCCCCACCCCTGTCTGTGACACTAGGACACAATGACACAACATCCCCACCCCTGTCTGTGACACTGGGACACAATGACACAACATCCCCACCCCTGTCTGTGACACTGGGACACAATGACACAACATCCCCACCCCTGTCTGTGACACTGGGACACAATGACACAACATCCCCACCCCTGTCTGTGACACTGGGACACAATGACACAACATCCCCACCCCTGTCTGTGACACTGGGACACAATGACACAACATCCCCACCCCTGTCTGTGACACAATGACACAACATCCCCACCCCTGTCTGTGACACAATGACACAACATCCCCACCCCTGTCCCACCCCTGACACTGGGACACAATGACACAACATCCCCACTCTGTCTGTCACTGGGACACAATGACACAACATCCCCACCCCTGTCTGTGACACTAGGACACAATGACACAACATCCCCACTCCTGTCTGTGACACTGGGACACAATGACACAACATCCCCACCCCTGTCTGTGACACTGGGACACAATGACACAACATCCCCACCCCTGTCTGTGACACTGGGACACAATGACACACAACACACCCCTGTCTGTCACTGACACAACACAATGACACAACATCCCCACCCCTGTCTGAGACACTGGGACACAATGACACAACATCCCCACTCCTGTCTGCGACACTGGGACACAATGACACAACATCCCCACCCCTGTCTGTGACACTGGGACACAATGACACAACATCCCCACTCCTGTCTGTGGACACAATGTGCCACAACACACAACCCCCTCACATGACACATCAATGACACCCTGTCTGCCTGTGGACACTGGGACACAATGACACAACATCCCCACCCCTGTCTGTAGACACTGGGACACAATGACACATCAGTTCTGACAAAAGCACACTTTAGAGATGCTTCTATTATGTCAGTAAAGAGATTCACCTATGGCTGTTGTACAAATCCCCAGCTGCACCATCTATATTAGAACACGCAATATAACTAGCCCAATCAATCTTCTTCTTCTTTTGACAATAACTGCTTATTCCGCTAGGCGTCGCAGTTCATCAGACGATTAGCAACCAAGCCAAGGCTCACTCAGCCGCTTGATATGCCGTGATGTTATGCAGTCTCAAAGTGTCAGTGGCTCACTCAACCCATCTTCTTCTCGGTCTTCCCCTGCCTCTTAGTGTCTCAAATTTCAGGTTGTACTCTCTTGCCGCTAGCATCGTTGGTTTCATTCTCATTGGATGGCCAAACAATTTCATTAATAAGGAAGGAAAACAGACAGACACACACACAAACACACACACACAGAAAGAAAGAGAGAGAGAGAAAGAGACACACACACACACTCACTTTCATTTATATACATATGAACACGCGCATGTGCACGCAGGCGCATACACTTATCTACCCTCCCACCCAGCCAGCCAATTATGTCAACACAACACAAAGACCATGAACAAGAGCTTGAAGGATGCACGTGTTGAATCATTCAGGGTGCTGCATCAGGACCAAGGCTGGTAGAGCCCTGTAAACATTGTCTACAGTTCTCCGCAGTTATCCTAGCAATAGTTCCCTGACTAAAGGCCTGGCCAACGTAGGTATGGGACTGACATCTGCTTCAGAGCCATACTGCATCTGCCTGAGAGGTCAGGAATCAACAAAAGTCAACACACACGTACACGCACTCACACACACATGCACACACACACACACACACACACACACACACACACACACACAAATAAGCCAGATCCGTAAAACATGAGCAGCAGCAGAAGAAGAAGAAGAAAAAGAAGAAGAAGAAAAAAAGAAGATGAAGAAAAAGAATAAAAAGACAAAAAAGAAGAGGGAGAATCTGTGTATCTTGTGTTTTGATGAGTCTCCAGGTATTTTAGTTATGGTTTTTCAAATGCCAAACAAACATGCAAAGGTACAAGTCATCAACGAGAAGCTGCAGGGATTACCTTGAGGTAAGTCCTCTTGTGTGGTGACTGTAATGTTTGGACTGGTGGCACAACCGACCACTGTACATACAACAGTTTCTAATGTGTACGATGTATAAGGTCTCAGATCTGAAAAGGAAGAAGTATTTGTTCAAACAGTTTTTATCTGAAGATAATATGAATAACAAGACTGACACAAACTACATCTAAATATAACTTGACAATTATTCAGCCACATCAGATAAAGAGATAAAGTATTAAATACTCGGCATATCAATCAAAATTGTCCATCAGCATGTCCTCTACACAACGTCCCTCTCTTCACGGCATGCCCAAAGGTCTCACTTTCACCAGCCAATTCTCCAGCCAGTCTATCTTCAATTTCCTGTATCCACCTTTGCAGAGGTGCACCTCTGCTTATTTTCTGGACACTGCACCCAACATCCCTGTTCTCCCCAGACCATCACAGCGCCTGTCATGCCCAAAATACTTCAGCTTTTGGGAGAGGATGTTGTTTATGAAGGGGTGGGGGTCATAAAAGGGCTGAGATGATACTCGGAACCATACATCTGGCTAAATGCAAGATGCTACATTGCTGCAGAAAATCAATGCTACTCTGCTTGTCACTTACCAATGCTGACAGCTGACAGAAATTCATGGCGAAGGTCAGGTCACCAAGTACAGCTGCAGTGATAGGTATGAAGAGCCAACGCACAACACAGGTAACACACACAGTGCCAACCACTCACATTGTGGAAAATAGAAAATGCTGACCGCTCACAACGTGAAATACAGAATGCTTACAGTGTTGAAAATAGCATAACATGACACCCCTAGAACATAGGACAACCTGAGCGAAATCTCATGCCTGATGGGATGGGGTGATTTTCTGTCTTATACTCTCTGCATTTGACAAGAATGATTCTCATATTTCAACCCAGGTCTAGCAAAGCTACCAGTACAGTCCATACTTTAAAGAGTAGAATAGAAGCTGTCTCCACAAATAATGTACTTCACGTACTGATAAATAAACACTGAATTAGCCTTTACATCTTGTACAGATGACTGACTGATCAATGACAATTAATATTTTATGGAATATAGAACTGAACTGTTCCCCACACCTTGTAGAATTACCGTGTTTACCCCTTGCAATAGGGCCTATAGTACTCCCGGAGTAAGTGTGTACAAATTACTCACCAGTGACAATAATGCTCCATGATTAAGTGTGTACAAATCATTCAGCAGTGACAATAATGCTCCAGGAGTAAGTGTGTATAAATCATTTACCACTGACAATAATGCTCCAGGATAAAGTGTGTACAGATCATTCACCAGTGACAATAATGCTCCAGGATTGAGTGTGTACAAATCATTCACCAGTGACAATAATGCTCCAGGATTAGGTGTACAAATCATTCACCAGTGACAATAATGCTCCAGGATTAAGTGTGTACAAATCATTCACCAGTGACAATAATGCTCCAGGATTAAGTGTGTACAAATCATTCACCAGTGACAATAATGCTCCAGGATTAGGTGTGTATAAATCATTCACCAGTGACAATAATGCTCCAGGATTAGGTGTGTACAAATCATTCACCAGTGACAATAATGCTCCAGGATTAGGTGTGTACAAATCATTCACCAGTGACAATAATGCTCCAGGATTAAGTGTGTACAAATCGTTCACCAGTGACAATAATGCTCCAGGATTAGGTGTGTACAAATCATTCACCAGTGACAATAATGCTCCAGGATTAAGTGTGTACAAATCTTTCACCAGTGACAATAATGCTCCAGGATTGAGTGTGTACAAATCATTCACCAGTGACAATAATGCTCCAGGATTAGGTGTACAAATCATTCACCAGTGACAATAATGCTCCAGGATTAAGTGTGTACAAATCATTCACCAGTGACAATAAAGCTCCAGGATTAAGTGTGTACAAATCATTCACCAGCAACAATAATGCTACAGGATTAAATGTGTACAAATCATTCACCAGTGACAATAATGCTCCAGGATTAAGTGTGTAAAAATCATTCATCAGTGACAACAATGCTCCAGGATTAAGTGTGTACAAATCATTCACCAGTGAAAATAATGCTCCAGGAGTAAGTGTGTACAAATTATTCACCAGTGACAATAATGCTCCAGGATTAAGTGTGTACAAATCATTCACCAGTGACAATAACGCTCCAGGAGTAAGTGTGTACAAATCATTCAGCAGCGACAATAATGCTCCAGGATTAAGTGTACAAATCACTCACCAGTGACAACAATGCTCCAGGATTAGGTGTACAAATCATTCACCAGTGACAATAATGCTCCAGGATTAGGTGTACAAATCATTCAGCAGCGACAATAATGCTCCAGGATTAAGTGTACAAATCACAAACCAGTGACAATAATGCTCCAGGATTAGGTGTACAAATAATTCACCAGTGACAATAATGCACCAGGATTAGGTGTACAAATCACTCACCAGTGATAATAATGCTCCAGGATTAGGTGTACAAATCACTCACCAGTGACAATATTGCTCCAGGATTAGGTGTACAAATAATTCACCAGTGACAATAATGCTCCAGGATTAGGTGTACAAATAATTCACCAGTGACAATAATGCTCCAGGATTAGGTGTACAAATAATTCACCAGTGACAATAATGCTCCAGGATTAGGTGTACAAATCATTCACCAGTGACAATAACGCTTCAGGATTAGGTGTACAAATCACTCACCAGTGACAATAATGCTCCAGGATTAGGTGTACAAATCACTCACCAGTGACAATAATGCTCCAGGATTAGGTGTACAAATCACTCACCAGTGACAATAATGCTCCAGGATTAGGTGTACAAATCACTCACCAGTGACAATAATGCTCCAGGATTAGGTGTACAAATCATTCACCAGTGACAATATTGCTCCAGGAGTAAGTGTGTACAAATCATTCACCAGTGACAACAATGCTCCAGGAGTAAGTGTGTACAAATCATTCACCAGTGACAATAATGCTCCAGGAGTAAGTGTGTACAAATCACTCACCAGTGACAATAATGCTCCAGGATTAGGTGTACAAATAATTCACCAGTGACAATAATGCTCCAGGAGTAAGTGTGTACAAATCATTCAGCAGCGACAATAATGCTCCAGGATTAAGTGTACAAATCACTCACCAGTGACAATAATGCTCCAGGATTAGGTGTACAAATCATTCACCAGTGACAATAATGCTCCAGGATTAGGTGTACAAATCATTCAGCAGCGACAATAATGCTCCAGGATTAAGTGTACAAATCACACACCAGTGACAATAATGCTCCAGGATTAGGTGTACAAATCATTCACCAGTGACAATAATGCTCCAGGATTAGGTGTACAAATCATTCACCAGTGACAACAATGCTCCAGGATTAGGTGTGTATAAATCATTTACCAGTGACAATAATACTCCAGGATTAAGTGTGTACAAATCATTCACCACCGGCAATAATGCTCCAGGATTAACTGTACAAATCACTCACTAGTGACAATAATGCACCAGGATTAGGTGTACAAATCACTCACCAGTGGCAATAATGCACTAGGATTAGGTGTACAAATCACTCACCACTGACAATAATGCTCCAGGATTAGGTGTACAAATCATTCATCAGTGACAATAATGCACCAGGATTAGGTGTACAAATCACTCAATAGTGACAATAATGCTCCAGGATTAGGTGTACAAATCATTCACCAGTGACAATAATGCACCAGGATTAGGTGTACAAATCATTCACCAGTGACAATAATGCACCAGGATTAGGTGTACAAATCATTCACCAGTGACAATAATGCTCCAGGGTTAGGTGTACAAATCATTCACCAGTGACAATAACGCTCCAGGATTAAGTGTGTACAAATCATTCACCAGTGACAATAATGCTCCAGGATTAAGTGTGTACAAATCATTCATCAGTGACAACAATGCTCCAGGATTAAGTGTGTACAAATCATTCACCAGTGAAAATAATGCTCCAGGAGTAAGTGTGTACAAATTACTCACCAGTGACAATAATGCTCCAGGATTAAGTGTGTACAAATCATTCACCAGTGACAATAATGCTCCAGGAGTAAGTGTGTACAAATCATTCAGCAGCGACAATAATGCTCCAGGATTAAGTGTACAAATCACTCACCAGTGACAATAATGCTCCAGGATTAGGTGTACAAATCTTTCACCAGTGACAATAATGCTCCAGGAGTAAGTGTGTACAAATCATTCACCAGTGACAATAATGCTCCAGGAGTAAGTGTGTACAAAACACTCACAAGTGACAATATTGCTCCACGATTAAGTGTGTACAAATCACTCACCAGTGACAATAATGCTCCAGGAGTAAGTGTGTACATGTCATTCAGCAGCGACAATAATGCTCCAGGATTAAGTGTGTACAAATCACTCACCAGTGACAATAATGCTCCAGGAGTAAGTGTGTACAAATCACTCACCAGTGACAATAATGCTCCAGGATTAAGTAAGTACAAATCACTCACCAGTGACAATATTGCTCCACGATAAAGTGTGTACAAATCATTTACCAGTGACAATAACGCTCCAGGATTAAGTGTGTACAAATCATTCACCTGTGACAATAATGCTCCAGGATAAAGTGTACAAATAACTCACCAGTGACAATAATGCTCCAGGATTAAGTGGAACAAATCACTCCTCAGGGACAATAGTGCCCCAGGATTAAGTGTACAAATCACTTACCAGTGACAATAATGCTCCAGGATTAAGTGTGTACAAATCATTTACCTGTAGCAATAATGCATCTAGGATTAAGTGTACAAATCACTCACCAGTGACAATAATGCTCCTGGAGTAAGTGTACAAATCATTTACCTGTAGCAATAATGCATCTAGGATTAAGTGTACAAATCACTCACCAGTGACAATAATGCTCCAGGATTAGGTGTACAAATCACTCACCAGTGACAATATTGCTCCACAATTAAGTGTGTACAAATCACTCACCAGTGACAATAATGCTCCAGGAGTAAGTGTGTACAAATCACTCAGCAGTGACAATAATGCTCCAGGATTAAGTGTGTACAAATCACTCACCAGTGACAATAATGCTCCAGGATATAATGTGTACAAATCATTCATCAGTGACAATAATGATCCAGGAGTAAGTGTGTACAAATCATTCACCAGTGACAATAATGCTCCAGGATTAAGTGTGTACAAATCATTCAGCAGCGACAATAATGCTTCAGGATTAAGTGTGTACAAATCACTCACCAGTGACAATAATGCTCCAGAATTAAGTATGTACAAATCACTCACCAGTGACAATAATGCTCCATAATTAAGTGTGTAAAAATCATTCAGCAGTGACAATAATGCCACAGGATTAAGTGTGTACAAATCACTCAGCAGTGACAATAATGCTCTAGGATTAAGTGTACAAATCATTCACCAGTGAAAGTATTGCTCCAGGATTAAGTGTGTACAAATCATTCAGCAGTGACAATAATGCTCCAGGATTAAGTGTGTACAAATTACTCAGCAGTGACAATAATGCTCTAGGATTAAGTGTACAAATCATTCAGCAGTGACAATAATGCTCCAGGATTGAGTGTGTACAAATCACTCATCAGCGACAATAATGCTCCAGGATTAAGTGTGTACAAATCACTCACCAGTGACAATAATGCTCCAGGATTGAGTGTGTACAAATCACTCACCAGTGACAATAAATTCCTCAGGGAGTGTGGAGTTGAACTGGTCCTCTGTATCCAGTAGAAGAACACTGTATGACAAGATAAGACCATTTGGTCGGCCCGGGGATTGGGCTTTGAACTGTAAGGTGGTCGAGTTGACAACAACCACCAGTGGGGGCAGTAGGTCCTCAGGTGTTGCTTGAGCTGTAGCCACTGTCACCTGTAGATGTAAGATGGGGATTAAACACGTTCAACAGGGGATCTCTGTAATGGAAAGTTAAGCTGTTGATCTCATACTCTGGGGGTTGTGGAATTGTTCCACAGATTGGATTGTTCCACAGATTGAATTGTTCCACAGATTGGATTGTTCCACAGATTGGATTGTTCCATTCATGGGAGCAGGTTTTACAGAGATCTCTGGGGATCACTGCTGGAACCAAAGAGTTTGTGCCCTGTGCAACATTGTGGAGTTACCAAGCCAAACGGGTGCAATGGATTTAGTCTTTTTCACTTGAAACAATTGTTTCCCATGAATGGGCAAATTAAACTGTCATTACAAAAATAATATGTTTAGTACATGTTCTTGACAGAAATTAACTGCTGCATTTTTAATGTTTAAGTGTATCAGCAAGTGAGCATTCAAAAAGAATCCATGAACTGATAATTAATGTCTTCTACAAATAGAGAAATGACATGGTGCTACTTAGGCATGCTTCTAGGGTAGATAATCAGTGTGTGTATTTGTGGGTGATCTTTGTATTCTAAGTGGTGTGAACTCATGTTGCCTCTCCAAGATACTGAACTAGCACCATGATTTCTCTATTTGTTGAAGACCTGACTCATCCATTGATGAGTTCTGCTTGACTGCTCCGTTTTGATACACATGAATGAAAACAAAAAGTTGCAGTTACTCTCAGAAGAGGGCATGTAATTTGTGTGCTAGGTAGGCATGTACAAACTGTTTCACAACACTGTCGAACAGAAAACCCAGGGCTGCTGTTGCCCTGTATATTATATCTTCCTGACCACATTCATTCAGTACATCCTTTTGAGCACAATACACATCTGTGCTTATTTCTCCAGAGACAATCAATAACACTCACAGCTAAATTACTACAAGTGTGGCTTCTGCCAAATACTTAATGCTGCATCCCCACATCCAGGTCTCTGCTTTAGAACTGACAATAAACTCAGTTTCATCTCCACTCATGTGTTCTGTCAGCCTTGGGTATTCCATGCCACATGTATCCTTGTCTGGCTTTCTGGCTGCCTTGTTATGTCACTGAACTTCGACTTCAAACAGCATCATGACATCACTGAGAAGACCTTCTTTTTATCATTAGACTAGACATCATTATCACAATGATTAGATAGATTACCCCCATGCTTATCTCAGGTAACAAATTATATGGTTAATTTTTACAGCAATCTCCATCAAATCTCTCTATCATTCACAAAGTTTAGATCCCAGCTCCGTTGTTGTCCTGTCCCTAGAACATCACAGATTCAAGCTCTGTTGTTGTTGTCCTGTCACAGAACTTATGTGATTCCCGCCAGCCCTGTTGTTGTTCTGTCACCAGAACATCTCAAATCTGAGCCCTGTTGTTGTCCAGTCACATTCCCTAGCCATGCAAGAGAGGAAGCATTTCCCAGACATAAGCTGACTGGGGAATTGTTTCTTCTACTTCTCTGCTTGTAATCTCAGGGAAGTGTCCACACACCTGGGAACTTCAGAACCTGGTTTTCCCCAGCTTAATTTGTGTATATGTCTATTTTAAAGTGCATAGACAAATATGCTCATGTGCTTCAACCTAAATCTAGGTTAACCCAGAACAAAACCATTTAACATTTAATTTCCCTAGACTATTGTTAAAATCTAACACCCAGAATCTTGTTCAGAGGTCAGGTGTCAATAGTCTAGATAAGACTGACCAATCTTAGATATAGAGGCTGTAGGTTTTGTTTGTAAAATGGAGGTGTCATAAAATTATCTAGTGGTCAGAACCTTAGAGGCAGGTAACTGGAGATAAAATTATTTATCTCCCCCTGAGATTACACCATCTAAATGTAGGTCGGCTGGTGTTGACACTTATCTGAAGGAGGTTGTAAGCAAACAGCAATGTGGAAGGAAGTTGTGACTTTTGTTTATGATCATACAAAGCTCTGGCCAACTTGACACACCATGGGAATGTAACCCAGTGTTGGCAAACAAGGGTTTAAGAATTTTTGACTGACAGATTTTTATCAAGGTATGGCGCGTCGCAGGTCGACCCAGCATAAAATGGGTACTAGGATGTATATCTCAGGGAAATAAAGACGACTGGCATAATGCTGACCAATTACCAACCTAGTGCCAATAAATCTGAAAAAATATGGGTGCTCTTCCCATATACCTGATACGCCTAAAGGTGTGAAAAGGGATCTTTTTTTTCACTTTACTATACCTCATGGGAAAGAGCTTTGTCATCCCTTAAATAAGAGTTGTGAAGGACAGGAAAGAAGAGGAGCTAAACTGCTAATTGAGATGAAGGGAAAGAATAATACTGCAAGAAGTTGAATTCAATTGAGATGGCTGCCAGCAATACCATCAGATAAGAGCTGCACTAGAAGTTATCCTAACTTTGTCAGTCTCTGCAGCAAATTGCCAGGATTTTCCCAGATATGGTTGAATATTATTTTCCCTCTTTTATTTGGTAATCTTAGTTTCAGCTTCATAACAAACGGGTCACCCCATCTTTGCTCCGCTCCTGTACCAATGAAAAACACACAGATGTTCATCACAGTCTCTTGTTGAAAGATTGACAGACTGCTGTCTCAGCATATGCACTAGCATACACACGCATTAAAAGCATACAGTACCCACCAGAAGTGCTAACACAAACAGTCCTACATTAGAAAAGCAGTTCATCATCGGCAGTAGTAGAAGTTAGCAACAGAGCAGCAGTTGTACACGCGATCAAAATTAATCACATTAGGGCACCACTACTTTTTATTTATTTGCTAGGAGTCTTACTATCCTATTATATCTTGCCTGAATGATTTAACTAGATGTTCTGCTTGAAATAAATGTTTGTGAGTTTTCAGCTATCTTAGTTAGGGAGCTGGTGAACTTTTTCTTGTACATACGTATTACATTTTGTTTTAGTGTATGTCTTTATGTTTATTAAAATTAATGTAATGAAATTATGTTACAAACATCAACAAAACCATGTCCCTCAACCTAGGGGATTGACAGACTAGGGGATTGACAACCTAGGGGATTGACAACCTAGGGGATTGACAACCTAGGGGATTGACAGGGGATTGACTAGGGGATGAGGGGGATTGACAGCCTAGGGGATTGACAACCTAGGGGATTGACAACCTAGGGGATTGACAACCTAGGGGATTGACAACCTAGGGGATTGACAACCTAGGGGATTGACAACCTAGGGGATTGACAACCTAGGGGATTGACAACCTAGGGGATTGACAACCTAGGGGATTGACAAACTAGGGGATTGACAACCTAGGGGATTGACAACCTAGGGGATTGACAACCTAGGGGATTGACAACCTAGGGGATTGACAACCTAGGGGATTGACAGACTAGGGGATTGACAACCTAGGGGATTGACAACCTAGGGGATTGACAACCTAGGGGATTGACAACCTAGGGGATTGACAACACAACCTAGGGGACTAGGGACAACCTAGGGGATTGACAACCTAGGGGACAACAACCTAGGGGATAGGGGATGACAACCTAGGGGATTGACAACCTAGGGATTGACAACCTAGGGGATTGACAACCTAGGGGATTGACAACCTAGGGGATTGACACAAACTAGGGGATTGACAACCTAGGGGATTGACAACCTAGGGGATGACAACCTAGGGGATTGACAACCTAGGGGATTGACAACCTAGGGGATTGACAACCTAGGGACAACCTAGGGGATTGACAACCTAGGGGATTGACAACCTAGGGATTGACAACCTAGGGGATTGACAACCTAGGACAACCTATTGACAACCTAGGGGATTGACAACCTAGGGGATTGACAACCTAGGGGATTGACAACCTAGGGGATTGACAACCTAGGGGATTGACAACCTAGGGGATTGACAACCTAGGGGATTGACAACCTAGGGGATTGACAACCTAGGGGATTGACAACAACCCTAGGGGAACCTAGGGGATTGACAACCCTAGGGGACACAACCTAGGGGATTGACAACCTAGGGGACAACCTACAACCAACCTAGGGGATTGACAACAACCTAGGGGATTGACATTGGGGATTGACAACCTAGGGGACTGACAACCTAGGGGATTGACAACCTAGGGGACAACCTAGACAACAACTAGGGGATTGACAACAACTAGGGGATTGACAACCTAGGGGATTGACAACCTAGGGGATTGACAATTGACAACCTAGGGGACAACCTACAACCTAGGGGATTAACAACCTAGGGGATTGACAACCTAGGGGATTGACAACCTAGGGGATTGACAACCTAGGGGATTGACAACCTAGGGGATTGACAACCTAGGGGATTGACAACCTAGGGGATTGACAACCTAGGGGATTGACAACCTAGGGGATTGACAACCTAGGGGATTGACAACCTAGGGGACTGACAACCTAGGGGATTGACAACCTAGGGGATTGACAACCTAGGGGATTGACAACCTAGGGGACAACCTGACAGGGGATTGACTAGGGGATTGACAACCTAGGGGATTGACAACCTAGGGGATGGACAACCCAGGGGATTGACAACCTAGGGGATTGACAACCTAGGGGATTGACAACCTAGGGGATTGACAACCTAGGGGATTGACAACCTAGGGGACTGACAACCTAGGGGACTGACAACCTAGGGGATTGACAACCTAGGGGATTGACAACCTAGGGGATTGACAACCTAGGGGATTGACAACCTAGGGGATTGACAACCTAGGGGATTGACAACCTAGGGGATGGACAACCCAGGGGATGGACAACCCAGGGGATTGACAGCCCAGGGGATTGACAACCTAGGGGACAACCTAGGGGACTGACAACCTAGGGGACTGACAACCCAGGGGACTGACAACCTAGGGGATTGACAACCTAGGGGATTGACAACCTAGGGGATTGACAACCTAGGGGATTGACAACCTAGGGGATTGACAACCTAGGGGATTGACAAACTAGGGGATTGACAACCTAGGGGATTGACAACCTAGGGGACTGACAACCTAGGGGATTGACAACCTAGGGGACTGACAACCTAGGGGACTGACAACCTAGGGGATTGACAACCTAGGGGACTGACAACCTAGGGGATTGACAACCTAGGGGATTGACAACCTAGGGGATTGACAACCTAGGGGATTGACAACCTAGGGGATTGACAACCTAGGGGATTGACACCTAGGGGATTGACAACCTAGGGGATTGACAACCTAGGGGATTGACAACCTAGGGGATTGACAACCTAGGGGATTGACAACCTAGGGGATTGACAACCTAGGGGATTGACAACCTAGGGGATTGACAACCTAGGGGATTGACAACCTAGGGGATTGACAACAGGGGACCAACCTAGGGGATTGACAACCTAGGGGATTGACAACCTAGGGGATTGACAACCTAGGGGATTGACAACCTAGGGGATTGACAACCTAGGGGATTGACAACCCTAGGGGATTGACAACCTAGGGGACTGACAACCTAGGGGATTGACAACCTAGGGGATTGACAACCTAGGGGATTGACAACCTAGGGGACTGACAACCTAGGGGATTGACAACCTAGGGGATTGACAACCTAGGGGATTGACAACCTAGGGGATTGACAGACTAGGGGATTGACAACCTAGGGGACTGACAACCTAGGGGACTGACAACCTAGGGGATTGACAACCTAGGGGACTGACAACCTAGGGGACAGACAACCTAGGGGACTGACAACCTAGGGGATGACAGACTAGGGGATTGACAACCTAGGGGACTGACAACCTAGGGGATTGACAACCTAGGGGATTGACAACCTAGGGGAATGACATTGACAACTAGGGGACAATGTCCACATAACATGTTACCACAGGTCAATGTCCACATAACATGTTACCACAGGTCAATGTCCACATAACATGTTACCACAGGTCAATGTCCACATGTTACCATAGGTCAATGTCCACATAACATGTTACCACAGGTCAATGTCCACATAATGTGTTACCACAGGTCAATGTCCACATAACATGTTACCACAGGTCAATGCCCACATAACGTGTTACCACAGGTCAATGTCAAACCATGTCAGCCAGTCTTGAAGTCTGAGTGAAGACGGACATCAGACTTAGGACTTCAACTATCATGACACGACTGGAGTTAGAAGGCAGGCTATGTAAGACATCAGTATGAGACAAAAGACCTTCAGATTAGACTGGAGACAATGTGAATATGAGAAAGGGAGGTGAAATATGTTTTTTTTATTTGAACATGCGTGCTGTGTGTAATCTAGACACTACACATGTGCACTTGTGTGTTTTTTGCAGTTCCCCTCAAGGGCAAGGACAAGTCAGCACTTATCACAAGCAGCTGGTCCAGCATATGACCTACTTTTATCTCTGTGGAAGGTTGGGGAAGAGACCCAGGAAGAACAGAAAAGGAATCAAGTGTGCACAGTACCAAGGTGCTGGTGGCACATCCAGCAGTTGCAAGCGGACAGGCTGTAGCTCTGGTAGGGCAGGATGTTGAAGCTGTCAGTGAAGTTGTTGTCCAGGCCCTGGTAGACTTCCACACCATCACGACGCAGGCTGTAGCCAGTGAGAACACCTGTCAGACAATGTGTACACAACAACTGTATGTAGGTAGGCTGGCAGGCAGACATACATACAGGTAGGCAGATGACAAGAATATCAAAATAGAATAGAAAATTTGAAACAATGAGAGAGAGAGAGAAAGAGAGAGAGAGAGAGAGAGAGAGAGAGAGAGAGAGACAGAGACAGAGAGAGAAAGAGACAGACAGCACAGAGAAAAACAAGTATAAAAATTGGGACAGAGAGAGAGATACAGAAGGACAAATATTGGAGAGAGAGAGAGAGAGAGAGAGAGAGAGAGAGAGAGAGAGAGAGAGAGAGAGAGAGAGAGAGAGAGAGAGAGAGAGAGAGAGAGAGAGAAAGAGAGAATTAAAAGTGTTCAAACATGGAGACAGAAAGGAAGACAAACGTAAAAATAAAAAGAGTGACAGAAACTGAGAGACAAAACTTTAGGTATAGAAGAGAACAGAAGATAAGACATGAAGAAGTAGAGATAATTAGGAGTGACAAATGTGGGGAGAAAAACAACGAACAGAGAAACAGGAAAAAAAAAAGGGGGGCAATTGTGAGGATACAGCTGTGAAGATACTCAGACAGAGGGGTAAAGAGTGAGAAATAGAGAGCGACAGAGAGCCAAAAAAAAAACACATTTATAATGAAGAAAGAGTGATGGACAGACAGAGAATGAGAAAGCGACAATTAAATGTAGTAGCAGTGAAAAAAGAATGACAGGTTGAGAGAGAGAACTATAAGAAAACTAAGAGTATTAAATATGGAGGAATAGACAAGGAGTAACACAGAGTGAAGCTAGTTAAGAATATAAGCATGTTAATAAAATGACAGAAAGACAGACACAGGAAGTGAGAGAGACAACTAAGAGTACTAGAACGTGGAGAAACAGATCAAGCCACAAGAATATAATCATATCAATAAGATACATGAGAGTGCTATGTGACAAGACACACACAAAAATAAGCATCACAGAACTGGACAAACAAGAAGCTTGTGAAACCAAGAAAATCTACCATTGGGTTTCTCTGGAGGCAGCCAGGAGAGGTAGATAGCATACAGCTGTCCTGGTGCGATCCTAGTGGCTGGAGGGTGAACCATAGCTGGGACAGCCTCTAGTGTTCTCACAGGTGTATAGTTGCTGGTGCTAGTGCCTGCACTATTGACAGCCACCACTGAGTACTCATAGAGGGAGTAGGCAGACAGGGATGAGTCTGAAATACAGACATAACATAGAAACATGGTCAGGAAGAGACAGACATAACATAGAAACATGGTCAGGAAGAGACAGACATAACACAGAAATAAGGTGTGGGAGAGACAGACATAACACAGAAATATAGTGCAGGAGAGACAGATATAACACAGATATACAGTGTAGGCTAGTGTTACACTGACCCACTGCCCCAGTCTATTGTCACACTGACCCCACTGCCCCAGTCTGGTGTCACACTGACCCCACTGCCCCAGTCTGGTGTCACACTGACCCCACTGCCCCAGTCTGGTGTCACACTGACCCCACTGCCCCAGTCTGGTGTCACACTGACCCCACTGCCCCAGTCTGGTGTCACACTGACCCCACTGCCCCAGTCTGGTGTCACACTGACCCCACTGCCCCAGTCTGGTGTCACACTGACCCCCCTGCCCCAGTCTGGTGTCACACTGACCCCACTGCCCCAGTCTGGTGTCACACTGACCCCACTGCCTTAGTCTGGTGTCACACTGACCCCCCTGCCCCAGTCTGGTGTTACACTGACCCCCCTGCCCCAGTCTGGTGTTACACTGACCCCCCCCCCTGCCCCCCCAGTCTGGTGCTACACTGACCCCCCCCCCCCTCCCTGCCCCAGTCTGGTGCTACACTGACCACCCCCCCCCCTCTGCCCCAGTCTGGTGCTACACTGTTACACTGACCCCCCCCCCCCTGCCCCAGTCAGGTCCCCCAACACTGACCCCCCCCTGCCCCAGCCCCAGTCTGGTGTTACACTGACCCCCCCCCCCCTGCTGCCCCCCCCTGTCTGGTCTTACGTGACACCCCTGCCCCAGTCTGGTGTTACACTGACCCCCCCCCCACCCCCCCTGCCCCAGTCTGGTGTTACACTGACCCCCCCCCCCCCCCTGCGCCCAGTCTGGTGTTACACTGACCCACTGTCCCAGTCTATTGTTACACTGACCCACTGTCCCCAGTCTATTGTTACACTGACCCACTGTTCCTGTCTAGTGGTACACCAACCCACTGTCCCAGCTTGGTTTTACACTAACCCCCTCTTACAAGTACAATTTAGTCTAGAAGATATAGCCTAGCCTGACATGTCCGATACAGCCTTGAACACAGCAGATACAGCCTTGAACACAGCGTGACATGTCTGATTTCTGTATCAGTAATGATGACACTCAGTATGTCCAGTGACATGTCTGATTTCTGTATCAGTAATGATGACACACAGTATGTCCAGTGACATGTCTGGTTTCTGTATCAGTAATGATGACACACAGTATGTCCAGTGACAGCACTTGCTGACCTGTGTATGTCAGATCTCGTCCTGAGTAGACTCGAACAGTCGCAGTGGTACAAGGGGATGTCGGACCCGTGGTTGGTGGTGGAGCACCATGATAGCCTTTGACAGATCCACAAGCTTGTCTGCTGGGGTCAAAGTCACATCTGTTGCAGTAGGCGGTGCTCTGTTGGCTGATGGGACACACAACACCAGTCCCACATCCTGCCAGGACAAACATACAAGCAAAGATAGGACACACAACACCAGTTCCACATCCTGCCAGGACAAACATACAAGCAAAGATAGGACACACAACACCAGTTCCACATCCTGCCAGGACAAACATACAAGCAAAGATAGGACACACAACACCAGTTCCACATCCTGCCAGGACAAACATACAAGCAAAGATAGGACACACAACACCAGTCCCACATCATGCAAGGACAAACATACAAGCAGAGATAGGACACACAACACCAGTTCCACATCCTGCTAGGACAAACATACAAGCAAAGATAGGACACACAACACCAGTCCCACATCCTGCCAGGACAAATACACAAGCAAAGATAGGACACACAACACCAGTCCCACATCCTGCCAGGACAAACACACAAGCAAAGATAGGACACACAACACCAGTCCCACATCCTGCCAGGACAAACATACAAGCAAAGATAGGACACACAACACCAGTTCCACATCATGCCAGGACAATTACACAAGCAAAGATAGGACACACAACACCAGTCCCACAGGACAAACATACAAGCAAAGATAGGACACACAACACCAGTCCCACATCCTGCCAGGACAAACATACAATCTCTCGTATCAAGGACCATACAGGAGCAGTTGTGTCTTTATATTTCCAATACACTATATTGAATTATTTTGTTATAAATGACAAAAACAAGTACAGGATGTCACTCGAGTGGGTTTATCAATCCAAATATTTATTCTGAAATTGAATTATGGTTATTTTCTTGGCACATTATGTGGCTATGCTTATGTTTAACACTGACTCAGTGATTGTTTTGTTTCAAACTACATATCGAGGGAATGATAGATAGTCACTGCCCTCCCCGTCCCCCCCCCCCCACACACACACACACATACCACCCACCTCTCCTATGGAAACTAATTCAATACAATTAACATTTTCGCAGAAAATATGAGCATATAGTTTTGAACATTTTCTTCTTCAGCTCTTCAGCCTCAAACAAAGCACTCACACCCAACAAACTCACAGACAGATTTAGAAACTTGTCAGCGACTGCTCTGATATTGCTAATATTGTTTTGTAGAATGAAGTAATCAGATTCACACCAGTCCTCCTTAGTTGCCCCTTAGGCCATGCATAATAGGCTGGCTGCAGGGCTGCTATTCTTTGGTTGCCCTGTGGAACCAGTCACATAAGGCTGATTTTAAACATCCATAAAATGAAATCAAGAATCACATGGTTAGTCTGCTGGCTTACTAAGTCATAGGTCCAAGGTTTAAACCCCCATCCATGTAGGATTTGTGTCTCAGTCTCACTCTGCTTCTTCCAAGACTGTTTTTGCCAGTCATCTTGATGTTTCCCAATGACTCTTCTCATCACACAGCCAAAGGCCACTGTCTCTTTCTTACAGTGGAAATTACTGAATGCAGGGGTTTTGCATAGATTTTTCCACTTAAATTAGCTTTTGAATAATGGAGTTTGAATAATGGAAAGACAGAAGTAATGGTGGTATCAAAGCAAAGAATTATTCCTAAATGCGTAATAAAAGTCAATGGTGTTATTTTGGGACAAGTACAGAAATTTAAATATCTGGGCACATGGATAACATCAGATTGAAGATGCATTACTGAGATAAGAAACAGAATAGGACAGGCAAAAACTGCATTTTTTCTTTTAAAGAGAGAGAACATCTTATGCAACATAACCTTGTCATTGAAGGTTAGAAAAAGAATTTTTGCTTGCTACATACATCCAGTTTTAACTTATGGCTGTGAATCCTGGACAATCACTAGGCAGGCCAAACAATTTCTTGAATCCTCAGATATGTGGTTTTAAAGAAGAATGCTTAAAATACCCTGACAGCAAAAAAGGAGCAATCAAGAAACTTTGAAAGAGGCAGGAGCCCGAAAACAACTTATCACAGATATCAGAAGGAGACAGTCATCATTTTTCGGCCATGTTATGAGAAGAGGGAAAATAGAACATGTTGACCACTGGAAAGATCTGTGGAAGGAGGGACAGGGGGAGACAGCGAGAGAAGATTCTTGACAGTCTTGTTGCTGGCATGGAGGTGTGTCAGCACACAAACTGATACATGCTGCAGGAGATCGCAGATTATGGTGAGGCATAATTGCTCCAGCCAGTTGGCTAGGCACCTGATGATGATGATGATGATGATGATCAGCTTTTGCCAGGCAATCCTTCTTTTTTTTTTAAATTGAAGATATTTGCAACATCTCAGAAACCAAACTTCTCTTGCCCCACCCCATCAATCCCCTCCACAAACTTGTCCTAACTTGTTGACTCACATTGCAAGAATGACTGACATTCCAAGAATGACTGACATTCCAAGAATGACTGACATACAACAGAAGAGTTTCATCAGAACATTTCAAGAGTCTCTATCTGACACTCAATGGCAGTCAGTATACTAACCGTTATCCTGACGAGACCTGTCTGACACTCAATGGCAGTCAGTATACTAACCGTTATCCTGACGAGACCTGTATGACACTCAATGGCAGTCAGTATACTAACTGTTATCCTGACGAGACCTGTCTGACACTCAATGACAGTCAGTATACTAACCGTTATCCTGACGAGACCTGTCTGACACTCAATGGCAGTCAGTATACTAACCATTATCCTGACGAGACCTGTCTGACACTCAATGGCAGTCAGTATACTAACCGTTATCCTGACGAGACCTGTATGACACTCAATGACAGTCAGTATACTAACTGTTATCCTGACGAGACTTGTCTGACACTCAATGGCAGTCGTTATCCTGACGAGACCTGTCTGACACTCAATGACAGTCAGTATACTAACCGTTATCCTGACGAGACCTGTCTGACACTCAATGGCAGTCAGTATACTAACCGTTATCCTGACGAGACCTGTATGACACTCAATGGCAGTCAGTATACTAACCGTTATCCTGACGAGACCTGTCTGACACTCAATGGCAGTCAGTATACTAACTGTTATCCTGACGAGACCTGTCTGACACTCAATGGCAGTCAGTATACTAACCGTTATCCTGACGAGACCTGTATGACACTCAATGGCAGTCAGTATACTAACTGTTATCCTGACGAGACCTGTCTGACACTCAATGGCAGTCAGTATACTAACTGTTATCCTGACGAGACCTGTCTGACACTCAATGGCAGTCAGTATACTAACCGTTATCCTGACGAGACCTGTCTGACACTCAATGGCAGTCAGTATACTAACCGTTATCCTGATGAGACCTGTCTGACACTCAATGGCAGTCAGTATACTAACCGTTATCCTGACGAGACCTGTCTGACACTCAATGGCAGTCAGTATACTAACCATTATCCTGACGAGACCTGTCTGACACTCAATGACAGTCAGTATACTAACCGTTATCCTGACGAGACCTGTCTGACACTCAATGGCTATCAGCATACTAACCGTTATCCTGACGAGACCTGTCTGACACTCAATGGCAGTCAGTATTCTAACCGTTATCCTGACGAGACCTGTATGACACTCAATGGCAGTCAGTATACTAACCGTTATCCTGACAAGACCTGTCTGACACTCAATGGCAGTCAGTATACTAACTGTTATCCTGACGAGACCTGTCTGACACTCAATGGCAGTCAGTATACTAACCGTTATCCTGACGAGACCTGTCTGACACTCAATGGCAGTCAGTATACTAACCGTTATCCTGACGAGACCTGTCTGACACTCAGTGGCAGTCAGTATACTAACCGTTATCCTGACGAGACCTGTCTGACACTCAATGGCAGTCAGTATACTAACCGTTATCCTGACGAGACCTGTCTGACACTCAATGGCAGTCGTTATCCTGACGAGACCTGTCTGACACTCAATGGCAGTCAGTATGCTAACCGTTATCCTGACGAGACCTGTCTGACACTCAATGGCAGTCAGTATACTAACCGTTATCCTGACGAGACCTGTCTGACACTCAGTGGCAGTCAGTAAACTAACCGTTATCCTGACGAGACCTGTCTGACACTCAATGGCAGTCAGTATTCTAACCGTTATCCTGACGATACCTGTCTGACACTCAATGGCAGTCAGTATACTAACCGTTATC